ACAGACTTTCCCTTCTACAGTGATAGATCTTTCTAGTCCAAATATGTGCAAATCTAACAGTCAATGACTTATGACGTGCAGTTTCTTATTTTTAGCAAATCTAACCTCAAACCTGTCTTTTCTTTTCGTTCTCGTCGATGTGTGCGTTCGTTTTGTTGACATAGTGCAAATCTGAACAGTTTTGGGCCGCAAACTCATTGCGCCAAATGTTTCTTGCTTTTATGTGTGCATTGTTTGTAGTTACGTACATCGACAAAAAAATTACGCATTGCTTTACTTATGTCGCCTTGTTCTTGGAAATCACAGTAGTCTTACAGTATCACATTACAGCGAAGGCATCAAACGATGCCGTGGTGGCTATTCTGCCTCCTATTGGGGGTAGAAGCCCAAGTCATCAATCAGAATATTGGGGCTGGTACTGGGCAAAATATAGGATCTCCAGGAACCATATTCTCAGGAACAGGAAACAATCCATACTATGGAGGTTTGATTATTTTCTACTAATTTTATCCGATACTCTTGCATCGTACCTTATAACACATTTTTGCTCTGATTCTTGAACCTCTCTTTTTGACCCGACTTTTGATTTCCGCGTAGGACCACTTCACCGTCCAATTAAAACATTCTTTTTGCTAATGTTGATTAAAATAACTTGCGTTATAATTGACGTGATGAGAACTTCCTTATCACCATAGAGCCTTATTTCCCAAGTTTTCGAGTTGATGAATTTTTAAAACCAATTGTTATTTCATATATTTTTTGTCTAAACATTTTTCTTGTTTTTTTTGGTTATAAAAAGCTATAGTTTTTACAAAATTTTTAGGAAACGCAAATAAACTGCTCAAACGTTTTTTTCTCTTCTACATAGACAAAAATTACACACTTTAGCTAGTTCTATTCCATGGTAAAGGAACTGCGCGCACGTTGCAATTTAGTCCGCCTACTAACTTGACTTTGCGCCTTGCTTTATGCATCAGTATTCCCGTTTTAAACTTGGTATTTATATTTGGCCTGCTTTATTGATCTAAATGACTTGAATGTTTGGGTTTTGTGAAGTCTCGGTGGCCTATTTGCTTCAATTTCGCACATTAATATCATATTGTAGAGATACGGTAGATATAGGTAAGCAGGCAAGGGATGAAGTAATTTAACTGTAATTTTGAAGATTGGGGTCGTTCTAAGCTCGAAATGTAAATTTTTGCAGTAATTACCACTACAATTACTGCAAGTGACCACCACCGATTATTTTTTCGAATTTTTAAAAAAAAAACTTTCCGTTAAAAGATCGTAATGAGCAGATTAAACACAAAAAATTACCTTGATCTAATAGTAATATATAAAAATAATAGTGATATTTTTTTGTAATAAATAGACAAATTTTTCTTGGAACCGGTACGTCCCTCCTTTTTTTCTTTTCCTTTTCTAGTAGAGGAGAACTCAGCAAAAACATTTTCGCTCACTAGAAGCCGCCTAACAAGTGCAGCAAGA